AATGGAAACGTCAGTTCAACTCATATCATTGTGGGAAAATTCTACTACCAGTCCTACATAACCTTACACGAAATAGGGTGAATACATCTCATTACAATTTTAACTTGGTTTTAAGTGTGGAGGCAGCTAATATTTGAATGACATGTGCAATTACTCTTTTTCAAAAGCACGAATTGATCTCGGTGCCGTTTGGCCCATCTATCGAGGGTCATTCAGATCCAGTGGCTCTTGCTCGGCGTCTTGATGTCAAATCAACAAACCGTGTCCCCGCTGAAGGTCACAGAGATCTGGTTGGTTCAAATGCTCTTTCAGCACCTGTTCTCCCCCTGACATCTGCTTCAGGACCACTTACTACGACTGGGCATTCGACAGTTGCTGAGGTATTTACTTCGAATATATCTTCGACACTACCTGCTCAGATAGGAAGCAATCAACCTCAGACGGCGGTGGTTACTGAAATTCGGACCAATGAGAAGAATACCTCGGTGAACTGCCGAACTGCCTTGCTGCAACGGCCATGGGCCGGAAGATTGCTTGCTGCAGCCCGAGTGTTTCAGCAACGTGAAAAGGAGGATGATGCTCAGGTTTGTCATTGGCTTATCTGTTAATCATACAGAATTTTTTCTTTTCATATATATATTTATATATATATATATATTAATAACATGTAGGCTAGAATTGGGACAGTTTTCTTGACTTTCTGTTAACTTAAGACTTTTGCAAAAATGAATGCCGTCACGTGATGGACAATAGCTCAGCTCGATTTCACCCGAAACGAGTGCGACATTGTCAAAGAGTATCATAAACCTGAATCAATCAACTATTATAGAAACATTACAAACAATAAGGTTGAGGAAGACATGCTCTTTCTTATAATACCTATTCGTCAAGTAACTCTATATGCTCTATCAATATTTTAATTTTGCTTGCGGATTTCACGATTTTATATTCCGCTGTCCTCTAACATTCGTTATCCCATCTTAATTTTTTAAGGTCCAAATGAATGTCACAATGGATTGAATCATAGAGCTGGGCCATGGATACAAGGCCTGATAGCTGCTAGCTTCGGAATCAGAGCCTAGACGCTTTGTTTGGTGAGGCCACAATATACGTGCTACCAAAGGCTTGTTTGATACAATTAGACATACGCTTTGAGTAAAACGTTTACTTTGATTGAAACCGGGTTAAATTAATTAACCAGTAAGATAAGCAACGGATCTCTTGGATAATGAGATATATTCGAATGGGAGGTTCAAATCGAGAGGGAAGAGGGAGGGGATACATTAAACAAGCAGGTATGATAACGCCTCACTAAACTCAAAAAATAGCACAACTCTAGAGTATTCAAATATAAACGAGTTAGGGAATGAGATACTAGGGTAGAAGTTAGGCAGATGTACCAAGACACAAAAATGATTGTTAAAAGCAGGAATTTGGTCTAGGGGTGGAATTTACTTGCCTATTTGACTTGGTGCTGAGACTAGCA